GGGGGTTATTGTCCTTTATTTGGGCTTGGTGACGTTGGGCCTGCACTTCGCCTTAAAGTTTTTGCAGAAAGTAAACAGCGGCGGCCATGACAGTTTGTGATCTAGGAGTAGAGTACAAATCTATGGGTTGTACTCAAAAACATTTTTTTCAAAACTGGTGACGTAATTGCTTGAAAATAAACAGCATTCTTTATGGGCACAGGAAGTGTAAAAGATCCGCTTTTTTATTGTCACAAAAGTATATTTGAAATTTTACGTATTCTTTTCAAATAAAAATTACAACAATATTTTGATTTACAGCTGGATCTAGTTTCTACTTTGGAATATGTTATTGAAAATTAAGGGGCAGGGTGAGGCACGAAAAAGTGTAAGAGGATAGCTCTGGTATTTCCAATACAAGCAGCAGACTGTTAAGGTAAGACAGATCTTGTAGCCCTATTATAAGGAATTATTTACGTACACTGCGTCTAGATGACTAACACGCGCTGAGTTTTGGGACTTGTGTTTTATTCTGTTGCCTTTCATCATTTCATTCTTAAAGGCTGTTCTTTAATACGACACAGTTTAGTATTTATGTCGTCTTGTAATATAATATTATTGTTATCAGAAGTATGAGAAAACTGTTTGTACAGAGAAATAACGATTTAACAATATTGAAAAAAAAAGAGTAATTTCATTTTTAGTGCTTACTAGCTGTTCTTCAATGTAAGACTGCTGGTTTTTTGTACATAAAAGATACATTTTTAGAATATACGAAATAGACAGGTTAGCGTTGTAATAACCGGTGCCTGTGGTATAGCAATTAGCCGCTTCGCAGTCGCACACATGAGAACCGAGTTCGATTCCCGAACGAGGAGAATTTTCATCGAGTATCTCGTTTATTTTCCGCTTGGACGGTGTATCGCTCTCGCTGAACCGAGGTTTGCCTTGACAGGCAGGGTCATAGCCCGGGTCCTAAATGGTCTAAATTGCATCGATCGGGAGCATTAAAACAAATAATAAGAAATAATAATATAGCATTTGTATAGCCCATACCCCGGGCAACAGCAAGTTCTATGCGCCTTACACTATGTTATTACCCCAGCAGACCATAGAACACTCAGAAACATTCTCAGCTTCCCGGGAAGCATACTACTCAGTACAAGCAGCTGATTAAGCTCTCAAACACTAACAAACTGACAAGACCCACATTTTAAGAAAATCTATTTCTATTACACTCACTTTTTCAAAATGAGATGAACTGCATGTTGTTATGTGTTTCGTTATGTCTTTCAGGTTGTGGATTTGCTGAACGATCTGTACACGGCTTTTGACACGATCGTCGGGCGGTTTGACGTGTACAAGGTAAGTTCTGCTGAATTTGGATAACACCGTTTTTAGAATGTTTGATTCTTAACACACACGCACACATATTATACACACACACACACACACACACACACACACACACACACACACA